GCCGGACTAGCCGCGGAGCCGGGGGCCCGGATGTGGGGGCGGTGCTGGGACCCGGGCGGTACTGGGCGCTGGGGCGAACGTGTGAGGAGACCGAGCGTCCTGCGCGGAGCTGTCCTGGCGGCCGACCGGCCAGGTCTTTCTCCATATTCACGCGGGTTGGTCGCTTGCTCCAGCCCGTCATTTTCTCTATGCGAAATAAGCGTTTTTGGAGCGAGCGATATACCTGGTTTTGGTCCTCGGCCGCCGAGGGGACCCGTCCTCCAGGGACTGTGCCCGCGGCTGCTGCTAGCAGGTTTTAGGTGACCTCAGTTCTTTGCTTTAGCGCCGTCTGTGTCTGCGGCTCCACCGATTTCCAAATTGCAGATTAAGAAACTCGAGGCAGCTGGGCCCGTGAGACTGTCAGGACCGGAATGCCTGTCAGATGGGATCGTAGAACCTTGCCTCACCACCTCTTGTTTTTGCCACCCGAGACCGAGGTTACAGATCTTGCATAAAGACCATTTTTTTAAATAAAGATCTTTACCCTTGTTTTGGATAGAGTCCCCGAGAATCCTGACTGGTTGGTCTTCGCAAATCAGATGTTTGCATTTACTGTAGATTCAGACTGACACTTCCAGTGAGAGTGGCCAAAGATCTCAGAGTTGATTTTTGAGAATTTAGTTTTAATTTTAATTATGCTATGATAAAGCACTGTGCTTCCTAGTTTTTCAGTTTGCGGCTCTAGAAAAAAATGAACTGCTTGGGAACGGAAATTCTTCCTCAGCTATTCTTTTATATCTGCAACACCCAGTTTATATACATATCTATTTTTTTCTTTTTTAAAATAATATAACAGTTTATTTTTACATCACTTTGTACATTTTTTCATCGCAATTGTAACCCCCGTGGGTTTCCCATCACCGAGCCACCAGTGTGCCATCACCATAATCCTGTGCACTCCCCCCCCCCCGTTTTTGATCCCATTCCCCACTCCACCTCCACAAAATGTCTCTGGTATATGGTTGTTCATTATTCTTATTTTCTCGCCTGGTCCATTATACTCCAGCTATGAGGGAAACATGTATATCTATACATACTTTTTTTTTTTTTTTGCTATACAGTTTCCTTTTTTAAAATTTTATAACAGTTTATTTTTACATCATTTTGTACTTTTTTTTTCCATCTAAATTGTAATCCTCGCGGGTTTCCCATCACCATATACATACATACTTTATGTAAATGCTTTGTTAAGGTAAAATTTTATAAAATTCACTTACTCGGTGATCTGTTTCAGAGAAAATTTACAGACTTGTATAATGATCACAGTCCACTTTTGGACATTTCCATCATTCCTAAAAGATCCCCAGGACCATTACAGTCAGTCCCTGCCAATCCCAGGCTACCACTGATCTACTTTGTCTCTCTAGACTTGCCCTTTCTGCCTGTTATCCATTTCGGTGGCATCTTGACTTTTGGTTCTTTGATTTTGCACCTTTGCAATTATTTTACCCTTCATGTGACCCAGCAGTGTTCCATTTGTATTGATGTAACACATTTTGTTAATGTGTTTATATAGTGTGCTTTTTGCAAATAAAATTTTGTTTCCCTTTCCTTTTATGATGCTGATGGCAAGAGCTGGTTGGGAGTGGAACAGTCAGGCTGCCCAAATTGAACTCTTGCCCATGACTCCTGAGGTATTCATTATAATCAGGAGTTGGCTCTACCCATGAAGAAAGTGACACTTTAATGCAGTGTTTGTGGAGCCTTTGAAACACCTAGCTCTCTCAGGATCCAGCAGGGGCCTTTCTGCTCCAGAGGCTTTTAGCTTTCCCTTCAACACCACTGTTTTTTGATTTCATTTTCTCATGGTCTGTCAGTTCTTGGATTATGCTGCTTTGAGTGGCAGCCACGGTGAAGTGCCACACACCCTCTGCTAGCAGAAACTGAGAGGTGAGGGGCTTAGGCAAACTGCACTGGCTCTGGTTAGTGTTGCAAGGAGGGGGTTGGGGGAGACTTGCAGCTTTCTTCTTTCCACCAAGAGAGTAAAATACTGGTTATATTCTGTTGAAAAGTTGATAATTCCAACCCTTGGTGACGAGACAAGTTAAAAATAGAAAACTGGACCTGCATTTGTAGGAAACCTCAGGTACTTGTATTGCTTTGCCTGAGGCAGTGTTGTGGTGGAAAGACTTAGGTTGATGACCAGGTCCCTGAAGCTTGAAGGGCTTTGATTGAAGAAATTTTGGCTGAAGAAATCTGTTAACAAGATTTATGAATCTTACTTGCTTAAGGAGATGAATTTACAGTAAAATGAAGAAAGTACTAAGAAGGTGCCTCCAGTGGCTCACCACACTGGATGGAGAATGAGTTGATACAAGCTCTATCTGTGAGGGCTGGGCAATGAAAGACAGTTTCAACTAAGATTGTTGATTTTAGCTATGTTGACTTATGGAGCTGAATAATCTGTGTTTTCTCTCCCTACAAAAACTGTTGATGGACATAATGTGCCCAAAGGAAGCGTTCACTCATGCTTAAGAACATATCTTTATTTTAAGATGGTGTGGTCTCAGGTCATTTAGATGTTAGCTTGTTAAACAGTGGTAGTATAGCCAAGGATTCAATTAGTTACGAAAGTGGTATTTTACAACCAGATTTTAATTAAACTGAGTGTACCCCTTAAAGGCCTAAATAAAATTCCATGTTCTCTGAATCTATTTGAGTAAAATAGTTCATTAAAAAGCCATGCATATCTGCATGGTCACATCACTACCAGGTGATGGAAGGAATTTCCTTGCACCTGAATTGTGTTTAATGATCTTAAAGAAATGATTTAGGTGTACTTTAGTTATACCCAGAATTATCAATCATCTTAATGATATTCTTACAGAATGCTGTGTAGAACAGTCTTAGATCTGCAAAGAACTTAGCTGTTAGTTGAACCAAATCATAACTTACAATCTTTTCTCCATTTAACATGTTATCTCTTTAAATCTTACTATTGCATGATACAGTAATAGTTGGATCGGTTTTGATACGTTCATTTTTCATTTAGCACTTGTTCGCATTTTGTTTTTTGTACGGCAACTTTTTTTTTTAACTACACCCGGTTAAAGGTGTAATTACTATGGTGCCTTGGTGATGAGTGCAGTGTGATGACAGACATCTGAATCACGTGTGCTGTATAGCATGTTAGCGTCGTAAGAACTAAAACAGTTAAAACTATTTGTTCAGTCTTAAAACAGGCAAATATGCTTTTGGAAAATCTGTGTTTGTGCGTGTACATACCATCTTGTAGGATACACTTTGTAAGGAAAGATAGCCAGGTCTTTCACATAAGAATTTACAGAAAACCAATAAACACTTAATGGATCCAATAACAGCCTAACTAGGCCCTTATGAGTAAGTGATGCTATAAAC